TATGTAACTTGCATAAGGTGGAAATAGGTCTTGACCACGAAATCCATCTGTTTAACCACTATGCTTACAGCCTCTTCTCATTCAATTTAGATGCTAATGTGTCATTTATCTTATAACTCAGATATTATGTTAATTAAGTTTATTGCAGGGGTAGAAATCTCTAAATGTAAGCACTCTACTGAACTATTGATAAAAGAGAGCTGGGCAACAAGTCTATTTATGAACTAGTGCATTTATATGGAAGATAGGTATACAGCATTTACTCTAAGAGAAAGTTGTGTTTTCTCTGCAAAGTTAGGTCAAAGAAGGGAGAACAGTACTCACCCATAGTTTCGGAGGGATTGAAACTGAGCAGTAAGTGAATTTGAGTTGACACATATTGTTAACAAGTAGCATTCTTTAGAACTCCTGATATGGGAAAGCTATCTACAAGGTTGGATTAATGTGAGTTGATTTTGCTTTGCCCCACTTGGCGCAAGTGTAGGACAGTCAACTGACCTTTCAACTGATCAGTTTAATGAAAGTCACCTCTCAGCCTTCTCATCTTCAGGTTTGATAAGAATGAAAAACAAAGTCCACCAGATGGTTTTTACCTTTTCTCCTAGGTACTATTTTCCCATTTGCATTATTATTTTCCTCAGTAAAAATTAAAGTGAAAATGCATGTATATCATATTTCATAAACAAGACAACATTCTGACACAATATCAGCACTTTATGTTTTTTTAAGAGGGAAACCATATGCTGTAAAATGTGTGCTATGCTATCTGGAGTTCTTAACAGAAATTCCAGGAGGGTGAGAAATCTCTGAGAAGTTTCTGTACATCCAAAGGGGAATGAGTTGCCTGTCTTCTGACAAAACCTCAATGACACCTGACTCCTAGACCGCTGAGACCAGAGTCCTACCACTCACCTCCATTTGTAAGACTTTCTTTCCCGTGCTTGCCTGGGGCCAGTGCTGTGCCAGGGCCAGGGTTGTGAGTCAGGATGATATTGAGCTATTTGTTTACCCCATCTCTACAAAATCATACCCCTACATACCAGTTCATATCACTATGTTGTCTTGCTATGGGTGATCTTGCTTTATTATTGTTGTTGTGGTTATTTTATAGACTTAGAATTCTTTCTTAGCTTTTAAATCTAGTTTGGATTTGAGATGCACAAGGAAGGAAAAGTAAGATAAAAAACAGAAAGGGAGGCAAACCATAAGAGACTCTTAAATTCAGAGAACAAACTGAGGGCTGCTGGAAGGGAGGTGGGTGAGGGGGATGGGTTAAATGGGTGACGGGCATTAAGGAGGGCACTTGTTGGATGAGCACTGAGTGTCTTATGTAAGAGATGAAACACTGGGTTCTACTCCTGAAGCCAAGACTACACTGTATGTTAATTAACTTAAATTTAAATTTAAAAAAAATAAAAATTAATTTAAAAAAAGAAAAAGAAAAATGATAAACAGATATTCTTATATCAGCTTTATTCAGTTTTCATATTTTTCCGGTTCTTTGACTTTATTCAGAAACTAAGAATTCCGGTTGACCCTTACTTCTAAGAAGTGAGGAACCCATTCCTGTCTTTACTTAGATTTGGATATGCTCTATGTTGTGTTGAGGAAGCATTCCACACTGAAAGAGGTTATGCATTTTTCTACAAGTTAGATAAGGTTTTTCCACTGGCTGAGTACACACTCTGAATAAACAGAGATATTCTCTGGTTCCTAAGGATGAGGAATGAGGACTGTGCCTCTTTCCTGGCTTTCCCACAAGATCTCCCTGGTGATTACTGGCCCAGACTAAGAAGTTGTGGGCAATCATATAGAAAGAAGCTAACTAACAATTCTTGAAAACCTACTATGTGCCAGGGACCATGCTTGATACATATTTTCCTCATCTCATTTAATTTTCTTAACAATCCTATGAGGCAATGACCATTTTCCTTACTGTACAGATGAAGAAACTGAGGCCCAGAGAGATCAGGTAACTAGTCTGAAGTCACGGAGACGGAAGTAGCAGGGCAGGGACTCAAACGATACTTACTCAGATTCATGGCCAGCCTCTTTCCAGGCCCCGCATTCCCCGTCTGCGGACTTGGGTGGCTTGGGGGTCCAAACCCCACACTAGGAGCAGAGTCCAATCATTGAATGAAGTCACGCATTTGTCTTAGGTTTAGAGACAGCCAGAATATCAGAGTAGAGACTTTGGAGCTCAGTCAGGCCATGTGCTTACCACTGCTTTCCTAACCTCTTCTGTCTGGCCCTTCGCTTTGAACACAGGGCAGGCCCTCGTGTTCCGTGCTGACAGGAACTGAGCTGCTTTCTCAGGGGCTTGAATGAAGCTCCGTGTGTCTTTTTAGAGCCAGCTTTACATCAACAGCTATGCTCCTGTTGTTTGGAGACCCTAGCATTCCTCATTTCAACTGATTACTTCTTTATTATCTTAATATAATATCATTGGCCATCTGGCCGATTTGAAATGGGAAGGAGACTAATACCGTACAATAATGACTTTCAGGTGGAACACCAAGTCTATAGGGATATTCAGAAAAAAGCACTTAGCATTCAGAAAAATGATTTTTTCTAACCTGTGCTAACTGTCCTTTTATCCTTATTTAGAGAATTCCATCATTTTAGTAATTTGGTACTGTTTTGCTGGTAGGTGCAGAGATAATGTGAAAAGAAAATATTTTTTTTCCTTTTTATGGATTAACAAATGTTCAGAATTTTTACTTGTAGTACTTTATCCTCTCCTATTTTTTCTGTGTTGCAAGCAAAGTGTCATTTGATTTAAAGTGACATCAAGCACATTTCTTTTAGCAAAACCAAAGGTGGTGATCTTTAGATATACCAGTTAGACTTCTTCCCACAATGGTTGACGTTTGTGCTTTGGATGTGAGAGGCTAATTTAACTCTGGAACAGGCAGTGGGCACTTCAGGATTCCTTGTCAGCAGGCACCTGAATGCCTTTGAAAGAACTTGCTGTCTGAGTATTTAGATGCCCCTTCTCTCTAAGGGTACAAGTGTGCATTCTGTGCCTAGATACACATTATGAAGTTTCATAGTTCATTTATTAAATGTCTGCCACATGCCAAGCACAGAATTGTCTTCCATACATTATCACATTTCATTTCATCCTCACAACCATCCCATGAAAGAGTTATGGGATAGGCATATAGTATTCTCTCCACTTTTCAGATAAGGTTGCTGAAGTTCAGGTAGATCGATTTCCCAGTGGTTGCACACAGCTAGTGCCTAATGATAGCAGGGTTCACCAGCTCTGCCTGCCGTTTTCAACTGTAACAGCTTGCCTGAGAGTGAGCTAGCTGGAGAGTTTTAGGAGATGAGGCTGAGAAAGTGGTGGAAGGCTTTGAATTTTATTCTAAGTGACACCCCAGGGTTTGGATTCATTTATCCATTCCTTACCGATTTATTGGGTACCCAAGGTGTGCCAAGCAGGTTGGGCACGGAGGGCATCACAGTGAATCAGCAAGCTTAACCTTGTCTTCCAGAAGCTTATATTCTGACTGTTGGAGGTTTTGAGCAGAGAAATGACATGACCCAGTTTCAGTTTTACAGGGGCCGTCTGGCTGCAGGAGGAGTAGCTTGGGCAGAAGAGGGTGGGGCTCTGACCGCCATGCTAGCAGAGGTGAGAAGCTGGGCTCTCGATGGACTTAGAAGAACGCAGCAGTGGCATTTTCTGAGCAATTGAATATAGACACTGCTCGCCCAGGCTTTAATGGGAACTCAGGTCAGCCTACATGCTAAACCTGTATTCTTTTAATTATGTTAAAATGCTCAAGTGTAAAGTGGCTTCACAACAATATTCAACTTAGTGGAAAATGTAGCACCCATTCACTCCTTAGCACTAGGCTTATGAAAGGAGAATACTTGTTGGGGCCAGGAGGAGGCGGGTCCTGGCTCCCTTCCCCAGGAGCATTTATCATCCTGGCTGCAGCTGGCCAGGCTGTTCCCTTGAAGGCCACATGCCTGGGTGGCAGCACTTTTGTGGTTACACTGGAGATTTGTAGCGTGCCCGTCTCAGTGCCCCTCCAAGTCCTTCCCTGTGACTCCCCTGTGGTGAGGCAGGTGCATAGATCCTCTTAATAAGAGTCAAGCCCAGCTTCTTGTTGTTCTGTCACGGTTATTTCTCTCAAATGATATTAGAAGGTCCAAATCGGAACAGGTTTTAATTCTTGGTCACAAAATGAGACTTTTAGCATATTGTGTTCCCATTTTTTTAAGTTTGGAAAACAGATATCCTTGTAGTTAACTTTTACTGAGCAGACACTGTCACTGAAAAATGGTCCTAGATGTGCCAGATCTTTAATAACTCCAAGACAGAAATTTGTATTTCCCAAGTCGATGAAATTGTCACCGAGCTGTTTGTGAAGCAATAAGGTAAATAAAATGTCATCTGCATGCAATTCATTTTCATTGACCTGAAGCGAATGACCTTGTATTTCCAAATAGTAAAGGAAAATGACCGTGGGTAACCATTAACACGGTATCTGCTCTGCAGCCATCATGTCACTGAGAATAGCACGGACAGCTTGTGGATTTAGACTAAGGAGCAACCCCCTTCACACCTGATCTTGAAGCAGAGCCAAATGATTGGGTTTCAGTTAGTCATTGGAAGACTCCCTGATCTGCCTAGAGTCCTGCTGACTGCATCTTCTCTATGCAATCTAACATTCCACTGACCTTGGCCTTCCACTGGGTCCTGCTGGGCAGGTTGTCCATTCAGGATATGATTAGAGGCTCTCACTTCTGGCCTGCAGGCAGCACTTGTACAACCCCTTTCTCCATTAGCCTGCCCTGGAGATCAGCCCTGAGGGCGCTTCTTTGCTGTGTCAGCCACACTCTGAATCAGGCAGCCACATCAACAAGAGATAAATATGCGTACCTCTGAGTTCCTCCTGTCTCCAGAATGCAGATGAGGGGCCTTGCCATTTTGAAAAAATTTTAAATCACCTGAAGGATCACTTGTTTTATTTTATTATTTTTCCCAGGGTTGCGACCAAAGAGGACTCTGCGTTTGGTGCTCTGGACTGCAGAGGAACAAGGTGGAATCGGTGCCTTCCAGTATTATCAGTTACACAAGGTAAGGAAGTAGCCACGGGTTGCTGGGCATTTGCGAGTTTAACATTAGTGTAAATAAACCGGAAGCATCCGCGCTTTTGGTTGAAAAATTCCCTCTATTGTCCGGAAGACTCTCAACAATTCTTTGTGGTAGGCTGACCCCAGCAAACACCCCTGGCAAAAGCCTTCATCCAGTCCTACGGCAGAGAATGCACTGGTGAACCGAGGGTGCTATGTTGTAGACCTGAGGGCTTCTCTGTTTCTACATCAGTCTGTGACCGTAGAGGAATTCCACCTGCCACGCTGCCATTTTCTTAAAGCCTCTCTGGTTCAGCTATTTCTTGTGTGCCAGAGAAACAGTAATAGGTAAGCATTTCCTCTCACCACTGAGCCCTCTCCCATACTTGTATGCCCTAAATCCTCCTGGATTTAGAACCAAACGCGGGGGCCTAGAGCCAGCCAGGAGCATCGATAATGGCAGTGGGACTGGCAGCACCTCAGACCAGGCTATGTGGAAGACAGCTTGGTTTGACACTGACTTTAATAAGGCAAAAGTGAAGCTTGAGGCAAGAAGGTGATAGTGGAAGATGATGATTAGAAATACAAGACCGCGGTGAAGATGGGGGACAGGGAGATTAATGTCAAGAACAACCGTTGAGAGAGGGCAAAGTGTACAAGCTCAGAGATACTCTGGAGCAAATCAAATGTTAGTTCAAAGAGGAATTTCCAAATCAGTGGGTGAGCTGCTGAACAGTGATGGGCAGAGGAGCAGGGTCTGGTCTGCTGCTGCTGGGTTGTTTTTCCTGCATTTCCGGATTACGAGGAACAGATTTGCAAGCTTAAATGATCAAAATCAGAGAAAGGTTTGTTTTTTGAATTTTGTTTATACCCTTTGGGATCATTTACAGAGTCAGTCTCTATAACCCTACTTCAGTTAGAGCTTAAGAATAATGAGCTAAGGGGCATGAATTTGGCCACTGAAGATAGTTATTTACTGTACAAAGGAAAACCATGCTTTATGCTTAACGCTTTTACCACTTCAGTTCTTTTGGCCTCGAGTGATCCTGGAGAATCAGATTATTCCAGATAAGTGTCCTTTGGTTGGTGGGTCAGTAGCATCATCTTCTATGTGTTGTGGTTGACTAGAACTCCAGATGAGAGCTATTCTAGATTCAGCAACATTCATTTAATATAGCGTCCCGCCTACTATGCTTCATGCATTAGATTAGGCGCTAGATTTCATGTCATTAAACAAGCCACCCGAAACTTACCGAGACTGCAGTATAAAGGACACCAACCACTGAACTTCAGTCATACAATCATGTGTGGAGTGTTCTGATAAAGTACTGATGGCAGAGACAGGAAGCTCACCTAACCTGCCCACGGAGAGCATTCAGGATAGGCTACAGGGCAGAAATGACATCTAACCAGAGACTTCAGGACTGAATAGAAGTAAGCTAAGGAAAAGGAGTTGGTAGGGGGGAGGTGGGTACTTGGCAGTGGGAACCGTATGTGTGAAGGCTGGAGGTAAAGACAGCACCACACGCACACTGAGGAAGGGGAAGGGACTCAGAGTGGTCGGTGCACGGAATGGAAGCTGCAGTGGTCAGAGCACACAGTAGAGAGGTAAACAGGGGCCTGAACAAGAAGGACGTATACATCATGTTTACAAGTTCGCACTTTATCTTTGTTTTTCAATATCATTTTTTTAATTTACATCCAAATTAGTTAGCATACAGTGCAACAATGATTACCTTGAGGCGACAAGAGTAACTGAATTATTTTTAAGGAGGTGCTTTTAGCTTCTATACACCTTCTATACACCTTGGACTCTATAAGCAACATAATACCTAAGAACTGGTTTGAA